GTTGCTGGGAATTGAACTCAGGACCTTTGGAAGAGCAGGCAGCACTCTTAACCACTAAGCCATCTCTCCAGCCCGAGAAATCTAATTTTAAAATGTTTGCTATTACTTCAGGTTTTATGGATCAATTGAAACAGACACCTTTTTTAAAGGCACTGATTTTTGTGACTTTTAATTACGAATGTGTGCTATACATTATTTGGACATGTTATATGAGTGCAGGTACCCATAGAGGCCAAAGTTATCAGATTCCCTGGAACCAGAGCTATAGGTAGTTGTGAGCTGCCAGATGTGGGTGCTGGGAACCAAACTCAAGTCCCCTGCAGGAGCACTGCTTGTTCTTTTAGTTTGTTTTGAGATAGGGTCTCACTAAGTAACTGGCTGTCCTGGAATTCACTCAGTAGACCAGGCTGGCCTTGAACTCATAGAGATCCACCTGCCTCTGCCTCCCAAGTGCTGGGATTAAAGCGTTTGCCACCACCCTGGCTTACAGCACACTTCTAAGCAAACTAGAGTGAAGAAAAGCCACACACTCTTTGTCTTTCTCCAATAAGCAGTTACGAGGGACAGCGACCCGAACTGAGCTCCAGGGAAACTGCAGTCCTACAAGCTATTTCCTGCTAAACAAAGAATCATCATTTTACTTTTTCTTTGAAATTACTTTTTAGTTTTTAAGGTAGTGTCTCATCATATAGCCTAGGCTGGCCTGAAGCTTACTATACAACCTAGCTGACCTCAAACTCATGATCCTCTTGCCTTAGCCTCTTGAATGTGAGGGTTACAGACATGTGTCACCATGCCTGGTTTTAAAAATCACTATGGCATTCTCAGGAAAGAATGTAACACCTCAGTGGGACAAGCCCATGAGAAGAAGGCTTACCTTGAACAGAAAGGTCAAAGGTTGCCAGCTCACTTTTGATCATTTCTTCACTGGACTTCATTTTGCTCTGTGAATTGGCTACTAAAAAGTCAAATTTGCTGATTTTGGGCTTTTCGCTTTGAAATTCTCCAAAGTCGTCTGCACACTCCCTGGGGGTTTCGTGAGAGGCGACACTGGAAGCCGGGCTTGGACATGCCGTCTCGTGGCTCCGTGCCGCTGTGGGCAGGTCCTGCCTTGTGAAGTCCTGGTAGTCCTCACTTTCACACTCTTTCTGCTCCACACTCTGGGGCATCATGTCTTTAAAGCTGGCGAAGGCTGCGAAGGGAGTCTCTGGGAGAGCATCCTCGCTCGCCAAGGCTGTTCCTTTGGAGAGAGATGACATGGTGATGTTTTCAGAACTGCCAAATGAGGTCTCTTTCTTTTGAAGATCTGAGGTGGCTGAGAAGGACCCATTTCCTGCTGAGGGGACAAATGGAGAGAGTTTTCTGCCCTGAGATGCATCACCCCTGTCTGGCCAGTCACAGCTCCTAAGTGTGCTCACTGCAGAATGGCTATTACAGCATCTCAGTCTAAATCCTCTACATCTGAAAGGAAAGGAAGGTCCCACAGATAGAGCCAAGCTCCTAAGTTAGGCAAAATGCCTAGAACATTTCATCAGTCCCATGTTATGCTGCGGGAACTGCAGTCAAAGCTTGTACTAAAATTAAAGGAGTTGGGCTGTGACATTTGATCTTTCAGAAACCGTATTCGTTTTCAGCTAGCATTTATATTTGATTTTAAAGAAAACCTGGGCACGGTGGTACACAGCTTTAACCTCAGCATTTGAGAGGCAGCTTTCTATGAGTTTGAGGTCAGCCCGATCTCCAGTTTCAGGAAAGTCAGGTCTACAAAGAGACCCTGTCTCAAACAAAACAAAACGAAACAACAAATAACTTTCTGTTATATGTGAAAAATTACTACAAAGATAGGTTGCGTAGCCATGACTACAAAGATAGGTTGCATAACCATGTCCATACTGATCATTTAACGAATTATTCCTTTTTTTAAAATACTTATTTATTTATTATGTATACAATATTCTGTCTGTGTGTATGCCTTCAGGCCAGAAGAGGGCACCAGACCCCATTACAGATGGTTGTGAGCCACCATGTGGTTGCTGGGAATTGAACTCAGGACCTTTAGAAGAGCGGGCAATGCTCTTAACCTCTGAGCCATCTCTCCAGCCCCCCGAATTATTCCTTTTTAAGCTCGAAGGTATTCTTACATCTCCTTTTCTCTAGACTGCGTGGACACTGTTCTTCTTAACCCCAGTTATAGGAAATGAGATGAACCAAAAATCCAGTTTCTCAAAACAAAAGCAAAAGCTTTCTCATCTAACTTTTAATAAATTACTAGAAATTTCTGTGTCAGGCAAAGACACATAGAGGATTTTAATCAAGCAGTCACTTACCTTGTTTTTATTTTGGTCAGTTTGGATATCCTATTGCTGGGATAGAATGTGAGAAAAACAAAAATCAGCCCGAATTACATTAGTCCTTTAAAAATAGAATGGAGAACCTGGATGTGGTGGCACCTGCCTTTAATCCCAGGAGGCAGAGGCAGGCAGATCTCTGTGAGTCCCAGGCTAGCACACGAAAAGCCTGAGGTCCTTCTGGGCTGTTTCTGTAATGCACCTCCCTTCCCACACTCAATGAAAGTGGAAGAAGTGAAAGAGAGATGTGCTGGGTTAGAAGACTCACTTGTTCTTCATCTATAGTTAAATAAGTTCGATGAGGTGGGGCCAGCACTTGGGAGGCAGAAGCAGGCTGATCTCCATCGCCAGCCTAGTCTATGAATGAATGGATGAATGAATGAATGAATGAATGAACGCATGACGAGATAGCAGAAGACAGCAGAAAGAATGCAGCTTTTTAGTCTGGAAAGATCCAATTTTGACTCTGCCACCTGCTTACTTGGTTAGCATGGACACTACCCTTCTAGTTCAGTCTGGCCTTGAACTCCTGGCAGCCCTCCCACCTCAGCCCCCAAGTGTCCTTTTCTGAACCCTGGTATGCTCATCTATGAAGTGGAGGTGTGAGGACAGTCAGCTGTGATAATGTACGTGGAAGATTGTTCAGAGTCCGGAGGGCAATACGTGTAACAGCTTGAATCCTTTCAGAGTAAACCTGCAAAGGTCACTTGCCATCTTAGTGATTTACTGGGAAAAGCTGTTCTGCTCATTGTCTTCCCACGTCATGCATGGGACTGAACTAGGGCCTTGGCACACTAGGCAAGTGCCTGGCCACTGACCCACATCTCTAGCTCTGTTTTTAACTCTGTTGAGACAGGTTCTTCTTACTAACTTGCCTAGACAAGCCTTGAATTCAAAATCCTCCTGCCTCAGTCTCTTGAGAAGCTGGAATTACAGGCCTGGTTTTCCAGCTAGTTTTCAAGGAGCAAACTTGAGAAGGCTGCCTATGGCTGGCGTGGAGACACTCCTTTCAGGAGGGCACTGGGGCCGGCTGGAGGCCTCTTATTTCACTTAGCTGCATCTGAGAGAGAAGGCCAACTGCTCCTGATAACCACACACAACCTCTCTGATAACTACACACACCCACTCCTGATAACCATACACACAAGCCCCTGATAATCACACACAACCTCCATGATAAACACACAAACAATCCCCTTGATAACCACACACAACCCCCTGATAACTACACACAAAACCCCCCTGATAACCACATACAACCACCCTGATAACCACACACAACCACCCTGATAACCACACACAACCCCCTGATTTCCACACATAACCTCCCAATAACCATACACATTCTCTCCCAGATAGCCACACACACAGCCTCCCTAATAACACACACACAGCCCCCTGATAACCACACACACAACTCACAAAGAACCCAGAGTTCTGTGACCGGATTTTCATGACGAAGCCAATGGGTGCAACAACACTGGTCCTCGCCTCTCCTTTCACAACAACAGCACACAGTTTAGAATAGGTTCAAGGTTCTGGCCACTCCCACAGCTCTCCCACCACCACGCCACACAACTCTCTATGCTCCCATAAGAGCGTTCAATGAATGAGAAAAATGCGAGTCAACTGGCAAAGCAACTCTCCTTTGCTAAAAGATGGAACACTTCCAAATTCTGCAGCGCAAACCATACCCCTCACATGTGGCTTGCTTAATAAGAAGGAAAAACAATTTAGGTGACAAATTTATAGTTTAGAAAGAGTGAAGCAAGCTGTTAGACGAAGCACTTTCTTAGTCTCTCACTGTAGTGTTCAGGAGACAGATGTGGTTGAACACCAGACTAGTCTGTCAGGTGAACACTGAGCAGAATGCTTCACCACACAGGTACACTTATTATTAGACCTTTCTGGAAGGCTCTTTGGGGAAACCATATCAGAAACTGCTTCTAGTGTCTTATCTATTAAAAAGTAGCGATTTGGTGTTTTGGGGGGAGGGGGGCAGGCCAAAGATAAATTTATGGAATGACAGCTCTAGTTCAAACACTGCAACCAAGTTGCTATGGTAATAAAAAGACCTTTTTGTGCAATTATGCAACAAGAAGACAAGCCTTTTTTTTTTTTTTTTTTTAAATCAAGAATGACTTGCATTGTAAGCGAGGTAAAAGGCATTGCGAGCAAAAAGGATTACCTTAGCAGAAGAGCTCTTAAGACTTTATACCTACGAAGGTCTTCAATGCAATCATGGAACATTTCACCTTCTGGAGCTACTTACTGAGGTGACCAAATGACTAAATGAGGAACCAAATGAAAGACATAAAAGGAAATGTTGAGATATATATTTTAACCAAAGAGTAAACATGTTATGAGTCACTAAATGCAAAATTTGAAACTGAATGTAGGTGAAAAAACAAATTACTAAAGAGTAATTAATTCGAACCCATAAGCACTAAACTGACATTACATAAAAACCAAAACCCAAACGGTTACATAATGTCTGTCCCTGAGCCTCAGCAGCTATACACAGTATAAATACCAAGTGTGCTTTTTTTTGGTATAGTGAACACTGGTAAACCATTTTCTGAGAAAAATCTGACACGTAAGTTGATTGGAGGTAAAGAACAAACAAAGAAACTCCCCATTTTTCCATGTTAACAACTCTCTATTTGCTTAGCAACCCAGTTCTTTGTATTATTGTATAAAGATCTTAAAAACAATAAGGAACGGGGGCTGGAGAGATGGCTCAGTGGTTAAGAGCATTGCCTGCTCTTCCAAAGGTCCTGAGTTCAATTCCCAGCAACCACATGGTGGCTCACAACCATCTGTAATGAGATCTGGTGCCCTCTTCTGGCCTTCAGGCATACACACAGAAAGAATATTGTATACATAATAAATAAATTACTGTTTCTTGATTTAATTTAAAAAAAAAAAACAATAAGGAACAAGGCCTCCAGCTTGAAAGACAGGAGCCCTGTCTGGGAAAAATGATACCGGGTGTTATAAGCACCAAAGTGGCTAGAGATGGCTTTGCAATTTAGTAGCTAAATTTTGAAAATTACAAGAGAAAAAAAAAAAGAAAATGGGGAATGACCGTACTAAAAGAAGAGTCATTACTGTATCTCCAATCCTTCCTGCTCCTGGGTGGTGCTAGAGAGAGCTGCAACTGGGCACAGGTAGTAAGCCAAATTGCGTGCTTTCACACATGGATTGTTTGCAACGGGAACTCACTATGACAAAGGACAAGAGAATAAACAGTACGACTCGCTTCCCATTGTGGATCAAATCAAGACATGGGCTTTCTCTCCTACAGGCAGCTAACCCTACCAGGCTCTTCTATAACCTCTATTCAGATCCACTCTGAATGCATGCTGTACATGAAAACAAGGTATCCCCAGGCATGTAAGCCACCACCACAGGACACAGAAGGTGAAACCCACACCTGTGGATGTTTTCTAAAGCTGTGGGCATATGCCCAAGAGATTAAGAGTTACTGGCTTTTAAGAAGGAGTTTAGAGGAAGAAAAAACAAAAGGGAATTACAAGCACAATTCCACTATTCTTGAGTGTTCTGCATAGCACTAGCAACGTTTGCTGGCCCAAAGAGGGAACAACTGCTGATGTCTAATGCGGAGTTAACCCAGCCTTCATTCACCAACACAAACCACGAAGTATTTGTATATCTCCACGTCTCCTCCTTTTGGGCCCAATTCTCCTTTGTAGAATATTCTCTACTAACTGCAAAGCCTGGTCTGATTATGTCCTGTTAAGTCTCAAGCATCCCTGGATAGGCATTGTTGTGGAGAATAGGAAAAGTGACCTCACTGAGCAACAGGCTACAAAACACTGCTGTATGATTGATTGCCTTCCTGTGCCTTCTAATCTGTGCAGACACTTCC